ACCGACATTTATTGAGTGCTTACTATATTCATGGCTACTCTTAATACATTGTATTAACTCATTTAATCCTCACTATGACCTCGAAGACTAGGATTTACTATAATTCTTACTTTACAGATGAGCAAACTGAAGCATGATGAAGATAAGTAACGTGACCTAGGTCACATGGCTAATAGGTTATGGATCAGGGAGTCTACAATAAGCCACTCAACCAGATGGAGAAAATGGATGCTCATTTTCTACACAAACCACAAAAGCATCATAGAAGAAAAGTGTGGTAAACATAAGTGATTTCAACTCCATAGACATCTGCTAGTTGTATCATTTGTCTAAAAGCAAATATGTGGCAAGTCCCCAACTTCCCTTGTTGATGACTACACCTCACAGAAGGTAGAAAAAATGACACTGAGACTTGCTTTTCCAGCTGACTCAAAAAGAGAAACTGGTGAGTTGAAGGTGATAGGAACCTTTAGAGAAAGTAACCATTTTACCTCAGAGTCCATAAGTACATTACAAGGCCAAAATCCCAGACAGGAAAGCAACTCTCAAAAGTGAAGGTACAATTCCACATCCTGAGATATTCTAAAATTGAGATGAATTAAGAGAGTTGGGAATGTTTGCTACCTATTGAAACCAGTGTGCCTGTTCTGGGTGCTGCTCTTTATTGACTCAGAAGAACATGTACCAAAGTAAAAGGATGAAAAACAAAAATAAACAAATACAAGAGGCCATGATAAAAATAATGCCAAGAAACTTCACAGCCCAAATGTGCCTGAGGCTTGGAAAAAATATGATAACGATATCAGGAAAGTGTTTTATTTTTATTTTGTATATTTAAAGTAAGAAAAGCAAGGGTAAGAAAGACATGTAACCTGTACAATTGTTATTTGATGACCAATATCAAAGAGGCCTTCTCAACTACTTAGTAAAACAGTTTTCTTTGTGAAGAAGAATGATCATAGACTTAAAAGGGTAAAATAAATATCATTAACCATAAATTGAAGCTAAGATAAGCAAAGTTTATAAAAAGGCACTTGATTGTTTTAAATGAGTTAAAATTATCTTCCAGAGTGGTGAGAGAGCTTGGGGATTGCCTATTTGCAATCACAAAAGTTTCAGGGACTCTGATCTGGGTGAAATGTGGCAGAAGACTGGAGACAGCAAACAGTGGCTGTGGTTTTCAAACAGGACAAGAAGTGTTTGGGCTTCTTAGACTAGCACAAGAAATATGTTGATTGGGTGCAAAATTCTAAAACAGGTTTGTAAAAGGGCAATTTGTAAGCACTTAGGAAAAAAAGTAGTAAACATGAAAAGGCAGCAAAAATCTTCTAAAAACAAGTCATGTTAGAAAAATCACATTTCATTTCTATTTTGACATGGTTATTGGATTGGCAGATCAGTAAAAATGTAGGCATACTGTATCTGAATATCAGCAAGGCATTTGACAAGGTCTCTCATGATATGCCTGTGAACAAGATGGAGAAATGTGGATTGTATGTTAGTAAAAGAATGCTACCTGATGGATAAATGTCAACAGTGGCATGCCACAGAACTCTGACCCTGATCTGGTCCCATGTAACATTTTTATTAATGACTTACATAAAAACGAGGAAAGCATAACTAACAAACCTACAGATGATACAATTATGAAAGCAAAAGCAAATACTTTGGCAGAATTAGATCTCAGTGACACCCCTACATGTTAACAAGATGAAATCAAATTTGGCCAAATAAACGCTATAAACATATTTCCACCAGTACCCTCATCTTAAACACACAATTTAAGAAGTATTAACTATACAATTATAGAATAAATAAAATGTGTCTTGGCCTGAGAACTTGTTAAAAAGGCTTAGGGGTTTAGGTTCCAGTGTTCTCAATGTGTATCGGTAGTGTTATGTGGTCACCAACAAGCTGATATTGGAGTATACAATATTTAACTGAAATATATAGTTAGAATAATGGAGATGACTAATTGTTGGTCACAGTACACAATCCTGAGTGAGTCAAAGTGACTGTCTGCTGAGAGGCTCATCTAAGGGGCATCAGATCTGCTCCCAGGTTTTGCTCAAGGCACAGCCACAGGTGGCCATATTGTTGCTTTTTATTTACTTTTTAATCACATGACTTTTCTCACCCTCATAGCCTCAGCTGACTGAAAGACTAACTGACAGGGCTTGCCAAAAAACTTAAACAGTCTGGTATAAAAACGATGAACTGGGCTAATCAAATTCCTTCTCTTAGATGTTTGAACCTAGAGCAACCGAGATAATTAGGCAGTTAGCAATAAGACATGCAGCTGAAGGGATGAGGTGAGAGGTGTCAGGAAGAACACTTGGAGTCATGCGGTGCAGTGGAGACCAGACATTGTTAGGAGAAAGTAGAAACTATGTGGTAGACAAAGGAAATATCGAGCTGATCGAAATAAAAAGCGATTGGACAAAGACAAAGAGGAGCAAAAATGCAAAGAACTGCTGAGTCTTATTAATGCCAGAGACATACATGTTTGGCTCTTCCTTTGGGGATTCACTGATGTTTTCTGGGTTCTCAGGGACAGACAACACACAGACTGAAAAGATATTCTCAATTACTCTAGGCAACCTTAATGACTTCTGCTCCTTGCAACCAGAAAGCCTAATAAGAGCCCACACCTGCATTCAGCCTTTGACATTACATTTCAAGAGCAGTTTGGACAAACTGGAGTGTATTCTAAAGAAAGAGACCAGGAGAGGAGATTTGAAACCAGCGAATGTGAGGAACTGGGAAAACATTTAGCCCAAAGAATAGAAGCCTTGGAAGCAGTGAAGGACTGTCAAGTGTGCGGGGGATTTTATTTATTCCGTGGGACTCTAAAATTAGACCTGAAAACACATGGGCAGAGTTATGAGGTGGTAGATTTTGGCTTGAGAAGAACTTTCCAGTAGTTGTTTGAAGTAGAATGGAATGACTTAGGACTAAGTCAATTCCATATTTTGGAGATATTTAAGCAGAGACAGGTGACCACTTATTAGGGACAGTGATGTTACCTTTCAATTGTATAGTGTTTTATAGTATATGAGGCACTTTCTACTACACTAACTTGATCTTCCTTGTTAGGAAGGCAGGCACATTTATATTCATTTTTACAGATAAGGAGGCTGAGGCACAGACAGGTTCTGTTACACAGCTCATGCATAAATTTCTGGATACCCACATTTATCCTTTATTGACTACATGTGAAATGAACATTTTAAAGTATATATTTGGAAAATTCTAGTTGATCAAGCTGATAGGGTTTCTGGCTTTTCAAAGTAATTCATCTTTGTGATGCTGAATATATTTTCAAATGTACTAAAAAGGTACTCTGTTCAGTCTCACATGAAAACTTATGTTCCTCTCTGCGTCTTATGAAAAACTGAGACCAATTAATACATTCCTTGCATAGATACAGAAGGTCCGTGGGTGCAGTTTGTACAAACATGCCTAGATGTACATTTCAAATAAGAATAGTTTTCTCTCTCTATTTGCCTGAACCCATTCCCCATTTTCCTTCCAGATTTCCTGTTATTTGGCTTTATAAAGGAGTGTGTTTGCTTGTCAGAATTGCTAGTTAACCATATTGCCCCGCTGTTTCATCAGCGATCACTCAGTCCTACGAATGAATTAAAATAAAATTTGAGAAAGAAACACATTGACACAGACTTGAAGAAGATACACATTGTTCTTTGTTTCTCTCACTTTACTCACCTTTCCCCTTGCAAAAAACCAGAATGATACACAAACCTTATCGCTAGTACACTACTAATTGGGTTATCATCACCATAGGTGCTGACTGCTATATTTTCTCTTGGAAGATAGAAATAGCAGTTTATAAAATAATTTAATCTGGTAAATAACAGATGATACAGAGTTTCTTGGAGGTGGGCCATAGTACTTCTGGTTTGTTGATGGTGACATATTCTCTGATGCCATGACTGGTATTTAATATGCTGCTAAGGAACATAAACAACAGTCCTATAGGGTGAATTGACTAGTTCTTCCCTTTCCATTCCAATTCCCAGATACCAAGATAGAAGTTGATACTAGACATTGTATATCAAGTGATATATTATGCCTATTGTTTGCATACAAATGTCTTTAGAGAAAGCTTCTGTGGTAGATCCAAATAAGGCATACAGAAGACAAGGGGAAGTCCTTGAATTTCAAAGATAACAGAATGCTGTATTTTATTAGTTCATGTTTTTCTATATTAATAGAAAGTTGTAATTTTTGATTTAAGAAAGAGTGACTAGAAATGATGAACAATTTCTCAGTTAATCATATCTAGGGCTAAAGTCGATCGTGATCAAGGGACCTAGAACTGGGAAGAACAGAACTTTAATCACACCATAGAGATCTGAAGAGTGAATCTGGAAACCTAAATATGTAAAGTGACAGCAAAACAGAGGAAAACTGTTTTTGCTCAAAAGACTAAACTTCATCCTAACACAGAATCTAGTTTTTAAACTTATACCCGTACTTCCATTTCATCAGGCAAATCCTTTTATTTTTTTAAATGTTTAAAGGCAACTTAGCTTTTCAAAGATTCTTACAATAAATAAAATGAGAACTATCACTGCTCCTCCAATTGTATTTGGATTTTCCTGTAATCCTGCAGTTTCTTAAACCAAGGGGCAATTGCCTTTCACTTTGAGGCTGCAGTGACAGCTTAGATAATTTCTTCGTTTCATGTTTTTGTGGGTATGTGACAGTGGGGTGTTTATGCATCTGTGGTTTCATCTTTTCACATGCATCTGCTTTGGTCTGTGTCTGTGGGTGTGCCTGGATCTAGATGTGTGTGTGTCTGTGTGTGCATCTGCACCTGTGGAGGGGTCTTTCCTTTTGCCTATGCATCTGGGTGTGTATCTCTGTGTGCATTTGTGTGTCTCTGCAGATGTCTATGGTGAAGCGAGTTTCTGCAATCAGTGGAACCGTCCTCTGCCAATACTTAAGTTTAGTGGGATCAATAATAGCTCAAGTACCTGGTCTCCAGTGGTATGTTGCTGTTCAAGACCCAGCTGTTATGCAGATGAACTGAATCCTGCGTACTGGTTGGGGGAGCTGGAGCAGCTGGGCTGGGCTGGCTGCGGGTAGTCATTGATCTCCGCTGAAGAGAGTCCACTGCAGGGGTTGGCTTCCTGGCACAGGTGCAGGCATGCGGAGGCGGCGGCGGTGGCGGGAGGGGTCTGAAGGTGAACTGATTGTGTGGGCTGTTCTGCACATCTAAAGAGGAGAGAAGAACATAAAATAAAGACTTGCTCTTCCACTTGGCAGTCAGGAAAACACAGCATGACAGACTCACTGGGATTTCAGATAATATAACCTGTGGGGTGGGGGAGGAGTTTTAAGTTCAGTCTATCTGTAAAAATGTCACAACTTACAAAAGCATGTGCAGCATGCTTATGAAATGTAAAACATTCGCAGTTGCATTTACATGTAAATTCTTCAGGGCTATAGCAGCTAAAAAGTAAATGAGGCTGCCTCACACCATTTGTCATGGTTTCTGCTACTGAACAAATAAATCATCAACAAGACACCAAGTTACAGAACAGAAGTGAGCTGATTTCCATCAGTTGCAAAAATCTCACTTCAGAAAATACCAGTGAAAGGCACAAATTTGTTGCGAGGAAAATCATTCGGCACTTCAAGTAAAAATATAAGGCCACCTTCTGGCTTACCTCAGGAAAGGATGCAAGCCTGCCTACACAGGAGCAAATCCATACTTCAGAAAGACAGTTCACAAGTGTGTCACTCAGCTGCGTGAAACTAATCTCTTTGCCAGCCCCCCAACTCTGAGTGCTACTTGTAAAAGGTAGGCTAAAAGGAGTTTGTTCAGGTTGCTATACATATTTCATGGCCATGCAAAACAATCTGCACCCCTCCCCCACTCGCCACACCTTTCTAGGAGCTCTGCCATGTTAGCAGCAGCTTAGGCAGCAGGGAAACCACTTTTTCTGCTTGTTTACAGAGGGGGCAGCCTGGGACAGCGGTCCCCAGACTTCTGTTGTTGCTATTGTTTGGTATTTTTCCACTGTTTTTCTGGCAGGCACAAGTAAAGACAGTGAGTTAGAATTTGGCCCATGAGAAATACACCAATTAAACCCCTTTGAACAGAAATCGCTATTGTAACTGATAGCCACCTCTCTTCCACAGGAGAAGCATAATAGATGTCAAGTGATTTCTTGTAACACCAGCACGTTCTGGATAAACTTTGTAGACAGCATGGCTTTGTCCCACCTCCCAAATGACTGAGAGTTCAAAAGCAGAAAAACGCCAGAGGCTTTCAATGCCTAGCAAAGGGCTCAGCTGGTTTGTGCAAGTCCCACTTTGCAGTGTCTGATCACAGAAAAAAAAAAACCACTTCTTTCAATCCTTTCACCTCAAACTTGAATTTTAAAGACACTGCCATGGTTTTCATATTTAAAAACGATAGTACTGTCCCAAGAGCATGACAAATTCTTGGCTGTGTATTCTAGGACAGGTGGCTCTCCCTTTAAATAAACTCACTATATGAAAATCTGATTTTACAAAAGATAGACAGGAAGGGGAGTGGTGATCATTTATATTATATAAAGGATTCCTTTAGTGGTCAGTTATTCTTGTATATTTAAAAGGGACTAAAATGCCTCATGAATTTCCTAAATCACCCCCATTATTCTGGGCTTAGCTCAAATCCCATATCCACTAAAAGAATCATCACAAGTACTTAACATCTCATTAAGTTTTTTAAACCTCTGGGTTCATACTCATAACCATAACGAGAAGTATGTCCCAAGAATGGGACCCAAAGAAGCATAGAAAACTGGAACCCAAAGGACCTTGGAGATGCTCTCATTTTGCAGATGAGAGAACTTGCCCTGGGACACTTGGCAGGTTAGAGGCATGACCAAGACTAGAACCCATATGTTCTGACTCTCTGGCTAATGGCCATTCCTTGTATTGCAGTTCTCTGTAACACGAGTTCTCTCTCTCTCCTTTTTTTCCTTAAGATTTAGAGACGCAGGATCCTTTACATTTTCTGGATTTTTCATTTAGGTTCATATATTTGTTTCTGTCTTAGACTATAACTCCTTAAATGTAGAAAGGAAGGCATTGTGATGTAGTGATATGCAATGTAGCATAATGGAAGAAGCAGAGAATTTAGACATATGACACACGGGTTTTAGTTCTGCCTCTACCTTTTAGAAGCCTTAAACCCTCATTTGTAAAATGGAAACGATAATCCATTTTCCTAGCAATTAAATTTAATTCAAGTAAAATGTGCTTGAACATAGTGTGTCAGCAACTATTTGTTGATCGAATATACTAAAAGTATACAACTTTGGAAAGAACCAAAAAGATCATCTAATTCAGCCATTCCACCCCCTTCTCCACTCTCGCCACTTTACAGATGAGGAACCCAAGGCCCAGAGAGGAGAAGGGGCTTGCTCAAAGTCACTCAGCTTGTGTGATTTTGCCTGCTCATGTTATGATTCCCAGCCCAGTATCTTTTTCATTATGCTATTTTGGAAAACAGATATGACTCTCTTCTCTGACTTTAACAATTACTGTTCTTACCATAAATTTGGCCCCTGAGTTGACAATATCATAGTACGCTCTTGATATCCTGTGTGTCTTGCCTTATCTTCTGAAATAGGCTGCATGTTTCTTAAAATAAGATAATCTTAGACTTCTCATGTATGCCATGCAGCGTTGAGCACAGTGCTGGGTACAGAACAAGATCCCTAAAAGCTTTTGCTGATAGAAAAGAGTCTGACCGGTTCTTGGGACCTAGAGAATCGCCTTCAGTGTTCCCCTTGTCTCTCATTCTGATAAAGCTACTGGATATCTATTCAATTGTTCACAGAGAAGTAGATTTTTCCGTTGAAGGTCTCAGTGGACTCTATCTCAGAGCCATACTAAAGGACAATAATACCCTGAGGAGGGTACTTAAAATAATGCCCTTCCCTGATACGAAAGGAGCAGCAGTGACATAATACAGATCTGCCGTCTTAAGCCACGAGTGAAAGAGCATTTAATGACCCAAATGAAGGGAAGCAAAAGGTGGGAGTTCAGGGTTCGAGGGAGAAGAGATATCAATTTGAGATTTTATGTTGAGAATCTCTCTAAACAACATATGTGACATCCACTAATTGAATCAGTAGGGGCTTCTGTCAGCATAGTTATGCAAAAGAAAGGAAGTTTCTCTTCAGTACAGTTGTTCAAAAGAAGGAGAATCATGTATTATTATTTGGATTTACTGCTTGTTTGATTTTCTCAAAATCTTTGAAACTCTCTTATTATTATGAAAAATCATTAAGAAAATTTTGCTTCATAGAAAAATGCAATCATTGTATTATTATCACATTGCCTCTATAGGTAGAGCTGCTTTGTATGATCATTTTGATTATATGTGTGTATATATGTATATGCATATATTAATATACATACATACATATGGATATTTTGATTATCTTCTATTTTACTGTGTATTCTATTTTCCACATTTTAAATGTGCAGAATTTTCCCTAGTAGTTAATATTGTCTTTAAACGCTTTCACAATATTGGATTGTTGCACTGAGTGGAATACATGTAGACCTTAAGCCCTTATGAAATGCAAATGATCTCAGATTCATTCTTTTTTTCACCCTAGGAAAAAGATGGGGAATGCACTTGTTCCCTCCCAAATGAAGTAATTTAATCCTTGGGCTCTGTGAAATGGGATTTCCCAACATTAAACACTAATGAAAAATACATTAGTGTTCAGTGTCAGGAGCTCTAGAACACCAGTTCCAGGGGTTTAAGAGACACATGCACTCACTTCCGAATGTATTTGGCAACCATACACTTCTGTGCCCAAGAGAGAGACACCGGGGACGGGGCGGGGGGGGGGGGGGGCGGAGTGGTGATTATGCAAATGTGGATATCCAGACATACTTATAAAGCTTTCTGAAAGTAAATTAAGTTTTCAGATGGAAAGGTCTAATTCATATAATATACTTGGATAGCAGCCAGTTTCAGGTTTGAGGTCCTAAAATAACTTGGTAACATAATTTCTCAGGGGCAAAATTCCTCCAAACTGTAGATCTAAGACATTTTAGGTGCGGCAGAACTATTAACAGAAGTATAAGCCTTCAGAAACAACATTGCCCTTGTCTCCAAAAGGTAAGTGAGAAAAGAAAATTGTCATGCAGACTTTTTTCTCTTTTTGCAAATAAACCTTATTTTAGATCATGCGTTAGAGAAAGTTTTCACCAGAAATTAGAGTATCTCTGCTCAAAAAACACTCTGTGAGAACTTAATCCGGTTGTTTATCTAACTATTTTGCCCCTTACATTTCATTAACACATGCAGTTAGTTCTGTTACAAGGTACTGCACGCATTTGTAAAACATACTGCACCGTGCAAAATTGTACATAAAAAGGGGTTTATGGGGGAAATGAGATTAGGGCACAATACTCAGAAAACATAATCAGTGATACATTAAGAAAAGGGAAACTAATAAGAATGGTGACATAATTTTACACATATTAATGCTTAAGAAATATATGAATGCCACACCAAATATGATACTTTACCTCTAAAAACAGCAGAAGTTTGCTGCAAAAATGGGTGTTAGAAAGGTTGCAGATTGTTACTGTGAAGTGGTACAACGAGGGTTATCCGACTAAGATGTAAAGTTCTAACATCAAATGTAGGTGGATGAAGCTCCCAACAAACGTGGCAAACTGAGATAGCTGCTGGATGTTTGGGTGCACACGTGTCCATTTTGTGTATAAGTTCTTACAAGGCTCATCCAGCTGTATGCAGTTTTCTTCATTCATTTTGTGCTTTTAACAGATGGACACACATAAGCAAATGCAAAATTTGTTTTAAGTTCAAATTGTTCTAAAACATACCAATAGCAAGGGAACAAATCAACATTTTCAAAGCAAGTATTGTAGCAGAACTGACTGTAAATGCAAAATAATTTTCTGTAGATGTTAAAAATAAATATTGTCAGTATTTTAGTAATGCCCAATAGATCACTTTTCTTGAAAAAATAGACTGAAGTAGACACATGCTTAGTTTTTCTCAGACTCATGCATGAACTTGATCCTTCTTTTCTTTAGTGACACTATAACAGTACCTCCCAAATATTTTTTACCCCAAAGTTACTATGCAGTGTGTGTTGCCAAAAAAGGCACATATATTCCTATAACTCTGAGGGGGTGGGGGAACCACAGAGATTCAGAAACCATGTCTGTACTTTCTGGCCTTAGTCTATGTTTTATTACCCCATTGGCCAAGGGAGTGGGCAGCTCCACAGTTCTGTAATCAAAAAACCCCGGAAAACCAAGTTTTTTGTTCTACTTTATTTGGAAGCAAAATCTAACCTGAAGTGATATGAGGATACTTTTGATCTTTAATTATCTCATTTAGTGAATTTTCATACACTTAGCTGTGAAAGTATTAATGCATTTTATTTAAGGGTGTTGGCACACACCCACTTTGAGGGTTACATAACATACAGTATAT